TGGTGTTCTTGTTGCCCTGTTGTTTATATCACTGGTTGATTATTGTTTCCATCATTGTTATTTATTTCCTATTATTTTTATACGCTATATTGAACAGGTTATTAGACTAGTGAGTGTCTTGACTGTACCTTGTCACTACTCTACCGAGGTTAGTCTTGATACTTACTGGGTACCGCTGTGGTGTACTTATATTATACTTCTGTACATTTTTTATGTACAGAGTTAGGTATTGGAGATATAGGACTCGGACAGAGTTAGAGTGTGATAACAAGGATTCAAGGTAGAGTTGCTTGGTCGTCGCAGTCCCTTGGAGTCTTTTCCTTTTATCGTACTCTCAATTATTATTTGAGCAGTAGTGTATATTTAATTTCCTTCAAATTATTTCATGTATTCAGTTAGAGTTCGTGACTCAGTACTACCAGTCTTGGGAGGTTGTATCTTTATTTCCGTTGTTGGTTTCGATTATAAAAAAAATGACTTGAATTGTTATTATAAACGGCTTACTTAGTCTTAGAGACTAAGTGTCATCACGACATTTATGGTGAGATTTTGGGTCGTTACAGAAGAAGGGCTTGTGATAATGTTATTATAATCCAAGAAGTAATGAAATATATTAGGAACTCTAAGAATAAGAAAGGGAATATGATCCTAAAAATAGATCTAGAGAAAGCTTTTGACAAGCTGGAATGGTCCTTCATACATAAGACATTGATTTACTTCAAATTCCCCCGAAAAATGACTAAATTAATAATGCCATGTATTAGCTCCTCCATCTATACCATCCTAGTTAATGGCTCTAAGTCGGAATCCTTCACACCAACAAGGGAGATTAGACAAGGAGACCCAATATCACCCTACATTTTCATATTATGCATGGAAATGCTCTCAATAATGATCAACCACAAAGTTGACATTAGAAAATGGGATACTATCAACATTTCACCAACAAGCTCACCACTATCCCACTTATTCTTTGCAGACGACCTAACTCTAATGGGTAAAGCCAATATGAAGACATCTCAATCTATTCTTAATTTCCTAGATACTTTTTGCCAATTATTAGGACAGGTTATTAATATATCAAAGTCAAAATTGCTAATGTTACAACACTATGCAACTTCAACAAAAAATAACCTCTCGCCCCTATTAAAAATAAAGCTTAGTGAAACATTTGGTACATACTTAGGTTTTCCCATCCTAAACTCCAACCCCAAACCAAAAGACTACCAGTTTGTGATCGACAAAATGAGAAGCAAATTAGGAAGCTGGAAAGTAAAGTGGCTTAATACTGCTGGAAGATGTACACTAGCCTCCTCTACCCTCAATAGCATCCCAAACCACGTTATGCAATACTTTCTATTGCCAACAAAAACTCTTAAGGAAATAGATAAAGTCCAACGAGACTTCTTATAGAACTCCTCTCCAGATAAGCGCAAAATGCATCTTATTAATTGGAACACCATTACAAAGGATAAATGCATGGAGGGGTTGGGAATAAGAAAAGCAAAAAGCAAAAACATAACTCTTCTAACAAGCTTAGCCTGGAGAATGATAGATAATACAAACTCCCTATGGACAAGGATAGTTTCTAGTAAATACGCAAACGCTAGGGGGAAATCTTTAAACTCATTCATATGAAAAAGCATCCTAAAAGATTGGTACTAGTGCAATTTAAGTACAAGAGGGGTATAAACAACAAAACAAATTTAAATATTTGGGATTCCAACTGGATACCAAATGTGATGAGCCTTAGAAAGGCCATAGCATGTCCCCTAACAAAAAATGAGGACAAGCTTACTTTTAATAAAATTAGGAAGGAAAGCCAATGGACTTTAACAAAAATATCATTCGAACTTCCTACTCAAATAGACGATAATATTAATGTGATCATAATTCCTAAGGCCCACAATTCAAACATTAACAACATTTGCAGCCTTTCTTCTAATGGCTTATTCTCGACCGCGTCGTGCTATCAAATTATTAACAATGAGGAAAAGATAAAAAATGATTTTAGTTGGATTTGGAAATTATACTGCTGAAACAAGATAAAAATCTTTATTTGGAAGTGCTACCATGATATACTTCCCAGTAGATCATACCTATTTAGAATAGGTATCAACATTGATCCACTTTGTCCAACATGTAAACAAGGTGAGAAAACTATATACCACATATTTTGGAATTGCAACATGATTAGCACATTATGGTGCACCTATGGAATCAACTACAACACTGTCAACACCAATACTCATTGGCTTGATTACATTAGACAAGATAACACTAACTTCTCACACTATTATCTTAATTGGGGAGAAGTGTTCCCCTTCGTGTTATGGAATATATGGAAAAATAGAAATCACAACAACCATAACAACACCTCTTGCAATCTAGAATGGCCCATAATCATCAAACAATCTCTAGAATACAAACTCATGACTGAAAAAGCAATAACAAACTCCATCCACAAAGCCATTAAGATAACTTGGCATAAACCACCAAAGGGCTGACTCAAGCTTAATATAGATGGGGCCTTCAACAATAATAAATGCCAAGGTGGTATTGGTGGAGTGTTACGAAACAGTGCAGGCCAGCGGATAATGACTTTCAACTCCAAATCCTCCAGGAAGGCCTCCAAATAATTATAGATCACAACCTATTTTCAGTGGAAATAGAGACGGATGCATCAGAAGTAATGAACATGCTATAACATAATCACCCGACTTACGCTACCTTAATTAATAATTGTAGGTGGTTAATGCAGCAAGCGAGACAGAAGGGACATGTAACCCTCAAACATAGCTTCAGGCAAGGGAATGCAGTGGCACATGTTTTGGCTAGGAAAGTACTCATGCAGTCTAACATAAATAAGCTATGTCTGTTTGCAACACCTTCTCAACCGGCAATGGAACAATATCAAAGGGACCTGGAGGGATTTTCTTGTGTAAAATTTACTTCTACTCATGTATGCACTAGGTTGGCTGCTCTAGGGAATGATGATGCCATTGAAGGCAGTAGTTCATATGTAGGTGCCAACTGCAGTAGTTTGGTTTGTAATATGTCTAAACTTGACAACTAGTTATTAATATATTATCCTTGTTGTTCAAAAAAAAAAACTTCCAATTCAACTTATAAATAAAAATTCTGGTCAAAATTGCGCTTCCCCATATCCCACTCCCAAAACGGCCGAGGTTCTCTCAGTTCAAACATCAAACACCTAATAGGCGCTAAAATGGAGAAACCACATTCCTCTTCTTCCTCTTCATCACAGTATTTGCTAGAAACCCTAACGACCAGAGGCTGGTGTTTCCGCGATGTCAATGAAGTAAATTCACTCATTGCAGGTCAATCGTCGTCGTCGTCATACACCGTTGATTCAATTGAATCGGAGCTCGTAAACATGGACTTGCGATCCATCGGTGGGAAATCTTTGCCCGACTTTTCTACTCTCCGTAAATCCTCTCATCTCCCAGGCCCTAAAGTCCTTCAAGTAATTATTCCTTCTTCTTTTTTAAATTCTCTTTACATGTTTTTGTTGCATAATGAATTTGTATGTATGTATGTGTGTGTGTGTGTGTGTGTGTGTGTGTGTGTGCGCGTGTGTATTTGCATCATGTTCTGTACATAATGGATGTTAGTGTTAGTAGCCAAATGATTGTTGCTGTGAGGCCGGTTCAGTATTTAGAGTCAGTGAGTTAGAATCAGGATGGTCTTCTTTTTTGTATAAAAAAGGCAGCCCGGTGCACTAAGCTCCCGCTATGCGCGGGGTCCAGGGAAGGGCCGGACCACAAGGGTCTATTGTACACAGCCTTACCATGTATTTTTGCAAGAGGCTGTTTCCACGGCTCGAACCCGTGAACTCCTGGTCACATGGTAGTAACTTTACCAGTTACGCCAAGGCTCCCCTTCCAACGTTCGAGGATTAATCGTGAAATTGATAAATTGATTAGTTTTACGCTGGTTTCCAACGTTCAGCAACCCTCATCCAGCCGACCAGCAATGTGAGCAAGCTCACACAGGTAGAGTTAGTGAGTATTCATGAGGGAGTAGTTGTTGCTGAATGTAAATAGGTTCGAGCTGAAAGAAATTTTAATTAAAACTGCATGAGGGAGTAGATGCTTTAATTGATGGCATGAATTAAAGTGGAAATAAGGATTTATTGCTTTAAAAGTTTGAAGAATTTGTCATCTGTCTTGCTGTAGTTTTGTGAAGTTGTCTATAATGTGTCAATGCAAGACATAAATGTCATCATGCTTGAAATTTTGTAGAGATAATACAATTCATGGGGCTATATGCATGTCAAAACAGGTTTATTACAGTCTGCGTCCATTGTCTCTAAATTTTGGATCTGCCTCTGAGAGCTAGGTATGGAGACTAGAGTTGTTATTCAATTTTATTTGGAATATATTATATGTTTATGAAATCATTATTGTAGACAAAGGTCAAAAACTGATAGTCATAGCATATGACATTCATAATTACCCATTAATCATGACTCATGAGATTTGAGTTATTTCCTTTTTACATTTTTCTCTCTCTCACACACAATGTAACTAAACTTTTTAAAATTTTGCACTGGACTTGTGAACTTCTACGCTGAGCTTCTTTCGTTCTTATGTCTCCATGTTGTACATGCTCTTGAGCAGATATCTTCTGTCCGAGATATATCCCGAAGTAAAATGGCTGAGAGCTCTGGAAATTCTAACAATCGGCGTCTACTTAGATTAAAGCTCAGTGATGGGCACTCTGAAATAACTGCTGTAGAGTACTCTCATATACCTTCAATTCCTGATGATGTTGTTCCTGGCACTAAGGTAATCCCCCTATATGACAATTTGATAGAAAACTCATAGTAGACAGGTAACATTCTAATATACATCCTATTGGCTCGTGGCATACGGAAAATATGTATCTCCCATTGTTACTATTTTTAATCATTCTTACAAAGAATTAGTCCTAAATTATGTTATTCTTGACTCCTGCTGATTATTGGTGCAATTTTTGACATATAAACATAGATATTTAAAAGCTCATCAGAGGCAACCAACTTATGGCTGTAATTTATATCTAATTCCGGTTATAAAAATTCCAACTCATGACTGTCCTGTTTGTTGGTAGTATAATAAGATGTGCTGAACAGTTCTCATTAACAATGAGTCCTCTTTTGTAAATGTTCTGCTTTTCAGGTGCGCTTGGAAAACAAAGCTATAGTGCACAGTGGTATTGTGTGTTTGAATGCCAAAACAATTACTGTTTTAGGAGGTAGTGTTAGTTCACTTTACGAGGAATGGCAGATGAACAAGAAATATTCAGGTTTCTCCCGTTCAACCTTGAAACAAGCACATGAGGATGGAACTGCTGGTCCACCACCATTTGAAAAGTTGCAGATTGGAGCTTTGCATAAACACCTTTCTCAGCAGAAGATATATTCTGGTCAGAGGCGTGACACTTTTGATTTGACAATATATATTAGATATCTGGTGATCCTGAACTTAGATTTTTAACATGGGGTCTGACATGCCATCTTTAAATGATAGTACCTCTTATTAGGTGATCTGCACAAGGCAATGAATGTTTTTGTTTGGGGAGGGAGGGTGGGATGTAACCTTGCTTTCTTCATATATGTATATTACAGTTATTTAGAGCGTGTTGATTTTTCCTTCAATATTACCAAATCAAATATATCTCTTCTCGATACTCCTATGGTGTGAAGACGGTTCTGTCTCATTTGGTAAAAGTGCCTGTCTGACTTCTGCAGAAAAAGCTCAAAGTTCTATAATGCATAGACACCAGAACCGTGACTTAAGGAGAGAGAGTGTGGGTAATGAACTGAAGCCAGCTGTTCAGATTGAAAGGAATGAAGAAAAGCCAAGCACCTCCGAATCAAGGCCAAAGGAAGGTGTAGCCTACTTGTCAAATTGCTCTCTAATGGAACTACTTGCTGCATTCTCTTAATACATCCTGAATTTCAATGTTGCATGTCCTTTCAAGAAAACCAAAGTTTTAATTTCACTGTTTATCAAAGTTCGTTTCACCCTGGCCTTCATATCTTTGTCTAACAGTGGTTGAAGCAGTCCCTGTCCAAAACCAAGCAGCTGCACAAAAACTACTGCAGAAAATGAGTCAGCCTCCTCGTGGTGGTCATCGTTCAAGAGGGCAAAGATTCAGGGGAAGGGGAAGAGAGGACGAGACAGAGGTCCTTACCCTAGATGAATGGGAAAGGAGAAAAACTGGTGCTAATCTTTCTGCAACGCATGATTTTCCTGATGTAAGCCAAGATGAAGAACTTGCAAGGCAGCTGCAACAGCAATTAGATTTGGAAGATATTCACGTAAGAATATATTTTTGTCAATATTCAAAAAATAGTGGCATCTAACCCATATTTTCATAATGTGGTCTCTATATGCCCCCTTTAAATTATGAAAGGAAGATCAAGCCTCGGTCGAGAATTGTCAATAATCCACTTACTAGAAAAGGTTATTGCTTATATTTATTCAGTTACAACCAAATTTATAATTTCTGTGAATATGACTGCTTTGAGGTGTACCCGTTGAAGCAAAAAACATGTTATAAAATTCCTCTTGCCTATAAGATTGGTAATAATGTCTCCAAAGTCCATGTGAACAATAATCGTTCTTAAAGGTCAGATAGAGTTATATTGACATATATTTCACCAGAGTTTACTGGGAAGTGCCATTTGATATAGTTCTTATACCAATTTTCAGGAACAACAAGATGGTACAACGACGGAGGCAGAGAATATTAGAATGAGCATGTTCACATTTGAAAGAGATGATGCTAGAGATTATGGTACAACAGGTTTTAGAGGAAGAGGTAGGGGAAGAGGAAGGGGAAGGGGAAGGGGAAGAGGTAGGGGAAGGAGAGGTTGACTTTTGTCTACTATTCATTCTTTCTCACCTTCTCTTTTTCTAAGTTAGATTTGTAGTTTTTTGATATCACATACCATTTCTTTTTCTGGTGAATGCTGTTGAACCAATGTAATGGACAAAGTATTCTATCTTTTTAAGTTTGCCATCTTGAAGAAACTTTCTTTAATCTTTATTCTGTATCTGATACTTAGTACTTGCAATTTTGTTCTCTCCTGAGAGCTCACTTGGGCAAAGTCTCTTCTATTTGGTTAGTCGCCCGTCCAGTCTCAAATGTGTTTGTTTATACTTGATCATAATCTTCCCTTTTCCTTACTTTTGCCTTTTGTCTTCTTTGGCTATTTGGTATATATAACTGTTTGATCATAGCCATTGTCATGTTTTAGGCTGTCTTTTCAGATGTGTAGGATTTGTTATCAAAGACTAAAATATCACTATCCTTACTGATCTTTTGCTCTTTAAGACATTTTAGTTCATATGTTTTAAGTTAACTAATGTAATGGGAAATGTGTGTTTGACCTTTCAATGTTCACTATTTAGTTTAAACCAGAGAGCAAATGGTCAATTTTTAGCAGCTAGTTTCGTTTATATGGACTGTTAATTTCCTTTAGCTGTTGAGATTTTATATTTCCAGCTTTGGTTTCCTTCATGCTTTCAAAAGTTTGCTTGTTGAAACAACCAAAACTAACTAGCTTCCTAAGAATTGTAGAGCCTATGCAAGTTTATTTATTCAGTTTAGTCGCACGCTCTTCTACAACTAATTAGAGGCGAATTCAGGACTTAAACTTGTCGAGTTCAATCTTTAAAAAACTTGTCGAGTACAATCTTTAAATTTCAAAAAAAAATTAGGGTAAACTCACTGTACTTTTAAAATTATAGGTTTAGAATCTAATATTTGTTGAAATTATGTGTTTTCTTTTATCTAAATATTTGGACTCTGTGTCGAAAATAATACTAGGTCCTATGTGGTTCCTCGTTTTCCTTCCTTGGTCAATAAAGATTGTCAGCTGTTTACTCGTGGCTATCCCTTATTTGTCACAATTGCTTGTTTGTCGACCTGGCGTCTCTTTTGAGACTTTCCTTGAGTTTCCTTAATTTTATTTTTATTGACCATGTGCGTTACAGGTCCCATTCAGTTCATATATCAACACTAGATTCTTTTTGTTTTGGTTTTCTACCTGATATCTGCTATTCGCACTAAGATTTTAAGATTGAAACAATCTCTTTACCTTTACTAGTTAGGAAATATTAGGTAGAATAAGATTTGTTGTTATTATTGTTGCATTAAGATTTCAATAAATTTAAATTCGCATAGCATAAGACCTATTGATGAAAGCTTAAAGGCCCCGTAAGCTTAGGCCAATAATAGATAGCCAAAACAAAAAGCATGTTCCATTATATCGGTATGATTTCAACTGGTTATTACATGCATGGGCAGAGCTAGAGTGGCGAGGGAGGTTCATCTATATCTCTTCACTGAAAAATTATACTCTATATATAAAGTTAATTTTTTTTTATGTGTATATATAAAGTGTTGAATCCCCTTAGTTTCTTTACGTGTTTATTACATTTTCTTGGCGAAAATCCTGGCTCCACCACTAATTATATGATAATATGGGATGTATTTCCTAATGACACTTCAATATACAAATATAATAATTTTCAAAATTCCCTCAATATATGATCTTCCAAAGCTTGATTTGTTCATGTCATCAACCATGCAACATGTTAAGAAAATGAGCACATTGAATAAAAGACAAAGGAGAGAAAAAGGAGATATAGGAGATGGACTAAGGTTTTCTGAAATTTATCGAAAAGTGTAGGGGACTCCTGCAAGAAACCAAAGGAGATAAGTTTGATTTTACTAATGAACAACCAGAAAAGGATCAGCTCAAAGCTTAAAAAAAGACTTAAAAAATGAAAGAAAATTCGGAAGTTGGTCAGAGAAAAAAAGTAAAGGGATGAAGGAAAGTAAGGAGGCACCAAGGGTGTGGACTCATGGACGATGAAATCGGTGCAAAATTTGAAAATCAGGGTTTAGATGATTAGATCTCAGTAGAAGTAAAAAAAAGATATTAGGTAATTTCTTTTTATCCGTTCAAACTTTGATATGTATAGTAAGTTAGTAACCTAATAGCTAAACTGGTGAGAAATAACAGATATACAGCTATATTGAGGTACGCGCAAAATCGGCCAGACACCACCACCAAAAAAATGAGAAGAGCTACCGGGTACTGTAGGGGAGTGAGCTCCTAGAATGCATATTACGCATTCAGTGCAATTTGTCTTAAGAAATTTAATAAATATGTACCAATTATTGATTTAAAATTTAGCAACTTAAAGGAACTAAAATTCTTAACTCATAAGTTTTAAATCACGCATATATTCTATTGAAGAGAAAAAGAAAAAGAAAGAAAAAAAACTTAAAATGACTAAATATTGGTGTTAGTGCATTTTAATATTAAAGTGCATTATTTCTTGTGAGATAGTGATTATAAATTGGCAAGAAAGTGGTCATTACTTTGGTGTAACTCATGAAACCACTAATGTCATGATCTACCACTTATTACTCACTAAAGCTTATATTTTTTGTAACCACCAACTCATGTTCTATTATTTTATTATCCCATTATCTTATTATTTATTTCATGGAAGAGATTCTACACCTATAAATACTGGTGTTTCTTTCTTGGGTTGTAGATGAAAAAAATATGATAGTGAGAATGAGAAAAGTTTTATGATGTACATGAAAAAGGTGTGGTTGGTATTGTAAAAAAGAGAGTTAAGAGAAGGAGGAAGTCTAAGTCTCCAACTTATTCTCTATAAAAGAGAATATTATTTTTGTTTAAGGAATGTGTTCATTTTGGTGGAGCTTTGGACTCAACAACTTGTACAGAGTTTGTTCGAGTCATACGACGTTGTCGGGCTGTTGTATCTTGGAGGGGACAAGTCAAGAGTATTACTGTTGGACCGGTGAAGATGCTACCGCAGTGGGCTTGAATCTCCTTAAAGAGAGCGAGATATTCGTGCCTTAGCCTGAAGAATATTTATTTTATTTTTTTCATCTTATTTTTCAACTGTAATTACTTTTAATTTCACCAATAATTTTAAGGATATTCAAATTTTTTATACAGTTGAAAAAAAATAGCGGATATCAAGGTAGAAATTCACTCTCTTTATGAGATGAAAAGGCAAAAAAATTTCTACTAGCTTAACTCAACCGGAGGAAAGGAAAAANGGCAAAAGAAATAAAATATTCTTGAATGAAAGTTTGAATATTCAGGCATGAGTGAAAGTTGATTAAATCAAAAGAGTGTGATAAGTGCATCTATCATAAGTCTTGAAATAATTCACATGTAATTGTTTGCCTCTATATTGATGATTTTTTAATATTTGGCTCTAACATGAATGGTATTGGAGAAACTACAAGCATGCTTAGTAGCCATTTTGACATAAAAGATTTGGGTGCGATAAATTTCATTCTTGGAATGAAAATTTAATAAATCATATGATGCGAGTTTCCTTAACCAGTCACATTGTATTGAAAAAATTCTGAAAAATATAATTTTATTGATTGCAAATATTATGTAACTCCTTTTGATTTAAATGTTCACTTATTTTCCTGTACAAAGTGACAATAATGTGATAAATCAAAAGGAATATGATAGCTTAATTGGAAGCTTGAGATATGTGATTGATTGTACTCGGCCTGATATTACATACGAAGTAGGAGTACTTAGCAAGTTTACAAGCAAGCCAGGTAATGACCATTGGCATGCCATAACAAGAGTGATGAGGTATTTACTTAGTACAAAAACCTATGGCTTATCTTATAAAAATATCCTGATGTACTTGAAAGATTTTTTGATGCAGATTAAAACACTTTATTTTTGATAGGTGGCCGGTGCTATTTGTTGGAAATTTAAAAAATAATAATTGCTAACTCTACCATGGAGGCTAAACTAATTGATTTAGCTTCAACTAGTGAAAAAATGAATTGGTTGAGAGATTTATTATTTTAAATTTCTTATTTTGAAAAATAAAATTTTTCCTATTTTAATTCATTGTGATAGCATCGCTGCTATTGGTAAACGTTATTACTAAAGTAAATTCATACCTATAAGGAGAAAACACAATATTATGTAATATTTAAAAAGTAGTAAAATTGATGTTGAATATGTGATAATTTTGAAGATCCACTTACCAATGCATTGGTAACAGAAAGGGTCTAGAGTACATCAAGGGGGATGAGATTGAAGCCCATAAACTCATAAGTCATATATGAGGAAACACAACCTGGGGACTAGAGATCCTATAACTTGGTTCAATGGGAAGAATGAATCATATGATGGCTTGGTTTGAAATGTACTATTATATTTGTTATTGTTCCATTCCTATGGCGTGAGTGCATTTATCTTGTAATGATTTGCGAGGTTGAGTTTTATTAACTCTTAATGAAAATTTGTAGCTCGTATGAGTGGGTGTTAGAGTTAAAGGAGCAACACTTGGCAGATTTTACATATGTGAGTGTGGAAGTAGGCCGCTTCCTTTGAGAATTGGGCTAGTTCTCAAAAACACTCATGAAAACCGGGATAGCATAAAGCCATAATGTACTGGCTAATAAAGCTCATGTCAACATCTTGATTATTATGTGTAAGCAGTGATACTTTATTTCCCTTAAGCAGTCATAGTTCAAGCCTGAGACTATTACTAACTCTGGAATAAAGATCGTTGTTTTACTAAGTGGAGGTTAAATGCAGAGCACACCTTCATTATGCATAATAGTCTCCCTTCAACTAGTAAACTCTCTTATTTTGATATTAAGATGAGTGGGGGAATGTTGGTGTTAGTGCATTTTAATACTGAAATTATAATATTAAAGTGCATTATTTTTGTGAGATAGTGATTATAAATTGGCAAGAAAGTGGTCATTACTTTGGTGTAACTCAGAAAACCACTAATGTCATGATCTACCACTTATTACCCACTAAAGCTTATATTTTGCAACCACCAACCCATGTTCTACTATTTTATTATCCCACTATCTTGTTATTTATTTCATGGAAGAGATTCTACACCTATAAATAGTGGTATTTCTTTTTTGTGTTGTAGATGAAAAAAATATGGTAGTGAGAATGAGAAAAGTGTTATGATATAATGAAAACGGTATGGTTGGTATTGTGAAAAAGAGAGCTAAGAGAAGGTGTAAGTGGGCATTTGGACATAAGAATTGTAAAATCTCAAAACAGGGTGAAAATTTTTTTCAAGTGAAAATGATATTTGAAATTTAGAGTTGTGTTTGAACATGAATATAATTTTAGGTTATTTTTGAAGTTTTGTGAGTGAAAATTTTGAAAAACAACTTTTTGGATTTTTTCAAATTTTTAAGAATTTCCAAAATGCATCTTCAAGTGAAAATTGAAAATTTTATGAACAAACGCTAATTTAAAAAAAAAGTGATTTTTTTTTTAAAAAAGGGAAAAAATCTTATGTACAAACGGGATCTAAGTCTCCAACTTATTCTCTATAAAAGAGAATATTATTTTTGTTGAAGGAAAGTGTTCATTTTGGTGGAGCTATGGACTCAACAACTTGTCCAGAGTTTGTTCGAGTCATAGGACGTTGTTGTAATGACCCGGCCGGCCATTTCATGGGTTACAGCTCCGTTTCCCCCATTTCTGCTTATTGTCTTGCTTATATGTGATATTGGGTTGGTTGGCTCGGTTCGAAGAGATTCTGGAAAGGAATGAGACACTTAGTCTCTTTTGAGTAAGCTTAGGTTGTAAAAGTCAAACGGATGTTGACTTATGTGAAAAAGGAATCGGATGTGAATTTCGATGGTTCGGATAGCTTCGGGAGGTGATTTGAAACTTAGGAGAGTGATCGGAATGTGCTTTGGAGGTCTGGAGAAGATTTAGGCTTGAATTGGCGAAAATGAAATTCTGGCGTTTTCCAGTTGATAAGTGAGATTTTGATATAGGGGTCGGAATGGGATTCTGGAAGTTGGAACAGGTCTGTTGTGTCATTTTTGACGTGCGTGCAAAATTTCAGGTCATTCGGGCGATGATTAATAGACTTTTTGATCGAAAGCGGAATTTGGAAGTTTTTGGAATTCTTAGGCTTGAATCCGATGTTAGTTGGTATTTTGATGTTGTTTTGAGCGTTCCGAAGGTTAGAACAAGTTTGAATGACGTTATGGGATATGTTGGCATGTTTGGTTGAGGTCCCGAGGACCTCAGGTGAGTTTCGGGTGGTTAAATGGAGCAATTGCATGGTTGAGGAGTTGCAGATTTGGCTTCAGTTCTGTTGCAGACGTTTGTTCTCCACGATCGCATAGAAGCACAATCGTATAGGCTTAGCCAGCGAGGGTGAGATTTTGTTCTATGCGATCGCATAGCTGAGGACGCGATCGTGTAAGGCTTCAATGATGTTGTTCGCGAACGCATGCGGTAGGTCGTGTCCGGGTAAGGTACCAGAAGTTGACCACGCATTCGTTCTTCGCAGACGCGGTCCCTGGTCCGCGATCGCGTAGGTGTAGGCTGCTGTATATCGCGTTCGCGTGAGGAGAGACGCGTTCACCTAGAGTAAAATATGGAGTCAGTGAAGCTTGTGCTTCGCGATCGCGGTTAAGTAATTTTAAAAGCTGGGCAGAATGTTTTAAAGACCATTTCCGCGATTTTAGGTCTAAGTTTCACCATTATTGAGCGATTTTGGAGTTTTTTTAGGAGGATTGAAGAGGAAATCAAGGGGAAACTCTTGGAGGTAAGATTTATGGACTTAATACTCGATCCTAATATGATTTTTACCTAATTAAATATGAAATTTGTGGAATCTAAAGCCTAAAATTGGAAGTGAGGGCTTGAAAATTGGAGACCTAAATCTAGGGATTTGAGGGGTCATTTATGGTCGGATTTTGATGTCTTTGATATGTATGAACTCGTGAGAGTGTAAGGATTCTAGTTTTGTAATTTTTATCGGAATCCGAGACGTGGGCCCTAGGTCGGGTTTGGCCAATTTCGGGATTTTTGATGTAAATTGATTAATTTTGAGTGAGCTTTGTTTCCTTAGCATATTTTGATGGTATAAATCTATTTTTGGATAGATTTGGAGCATCTGGAGGCCGATTCGAGGGGCAGAGGCATCGCGGGCTAGTTTATGTTTCTATCCTTTTCCCCATATTTTCATCACTCGTTTGAACTACTAAAAGATGTTTTAAAGAGGTTTTTACTGAACTAAGGTGTTTTTACGAGCTTTTACTGTTTTATTGCATTATTCTGGTTTTATACCATTTTGTTGTAGCATTATGTTGTGTTTTACGTGTTTTCTTATCGTTCAGTTGCCTTTACTTTTATTACTTACTGAGTTGGCGTACTCACATTACTCCCTGCACCCTGTGTGCAGATCCAGGAGTCTCGAGTCACGCTATCAAAGGGTGATTGTCAAGAATGGATTCGAACCCATGCCCTTTCGGATCAGTACCTAAAACTGTTTCCTTAGACCAACTCAGCCATCTTGAGTCTTCACATTATCTCCGGAAAAGAACAAGAAAAAGAAAAAAGAAAAGAGAAATATGTGATAGATACTTTGAACGAGCTTCTCAGAAAGTAAGGTGTCATGACACATCGCATATGCAAAGCGGGTTACTTGCATTTGTTGTTGGGGATAAAATTACGCCATTATTTAATCACGAAGTGACTTTTCAGTCATTCTGTGACCACAAAAAAAAAAGGATTTTCTTTTTTCTCTTTCGTGGAAGTGATTGGCAAATTTAAAGGATGAAGAGACAAAAGAAGATAAATTTTTGCGGTAGAATTTATAGTTTATGAATTTTAAATTTATCAATAAATCATAACTCGTTTAGTTATTGAGTTAGTAATTAAATATTTATGTATATTTAATAAATTTTTAATATAATAATATAATCTAAGCAAAAGCTACTAAATTCTTTTGAATTCTAAGCAATACACTACCTCTGCCCTTTAGGAGGTCCTTTAATTCGAGGAATAGAGAAAATTAAACTTTAGTTTTCCCCACTATTTATAATGTTTGACTTCTAATATAATACTTATACTATCTTATTATTTTTAATTATATAATTTTAGCTTATTAATTCAGCATACCGTTTCCAAAAATATTAAACTTCCCTCTCTATATATATATTAACAAAATTTATTCAATTTTAATATAAAAAAGAAGCCATATATTATGCAACAAAACTTTTATTAAAATCTAGTACATATTGTTTTACATCGGAAAAAATAACATAATAACAATTACGATATGAACATTCAACATTAAAATTCAAATTTTAGAACAAAATTATTTTTAAAGAAAACAATCTTAATCAATAACCATTATATTATTAAAAATCATGTACTATTATTCACCATATAATTCTACCACATTATTATTCATACCTACAGATAATAATTAACTCAATCAGGCAACCGGCGCGTGCCGCTACGCGCCATAACTCCAGAACAAGAACTAAAACGGCGCCGACTCAATCAACGTTATTAAATTTTTCCTGAAACGAAATTATTAAAATTTTCAGAATTCAAAAAATTGTTCAAAATTTGAGCGAACATTACTCCGACACGTCAGCATCCACCTCAGCAAGTCCCTACTTTTTTATATAAATACCGCCTTACCCCTTTAAATTTTGTAGTCTTTTCATTCTCATCGAAGAGTCAAAGGAGCAGCTTCAACTCAGCTGCAGCCTTTTCAAAATTTCAACATTTAGGGTTTCAAAAAAATTTCTTCTTCTTCAGACTATCAAATCAGAAAGAAGTTTTGGTTAGCTGTGTTTCAGATCGGTTTGTGTAAACTTCTGGTAAAGCGTTAACGGAAGATAAATATAATTTTGCGGCGAAGTTTTATTTATTTATTTGATCTGTTTTTTTAAGCTATTTTTGGCGTTAAACTGCCTCCTGATTGTATATCGATTGTTTAAGCTCGTTTTTAGATCTGGGTTTCCGTTGTTTTAGTGTTTGTTCGATGAATTTGAATTGAGTTTTGTGTTTGAAGTAAAGATTAGGCCTTTTTAATCGTAGAAGTGCTTGGTTTTTAGATGTGGGTTTTGGTTGTTTTTATGATATATTCAGTAGATTGGATTTGGTTTTCGTATTTGAAGTTGAAATTAGGGTTTTTAAATCGGATACGTGCTCTTAAATTGGAAACGGTTTTGGTGTTTGAGGTCAAATTAGGATTTTTTTTTGTTTGGATATGTGCTTGAATTCACTGTTTTGAGCTGAAACTTGTTAAAGATTTTAGCTTTGTGTATTGAATTGGAACTGGGTTTTGTTAAAGACTTTATTCTTAATTGGTGGATTGCTTGAGATCAACGTTCTGAGCTGAAATTTGATTGAGGGTTATGGTTGTTTAACTATTATATATTAAATTGAAACTGGATATCTTTGAATTCGAAGTAGTGGTTTTAAATAGAAGAAGTGCTTCAGCAAATGTTTCAAGCTGAAATCTGTTACGAACTTGTGAGCATGTTGGAGTTGGGAAGTGAGAAATGCTAATAGATTATTGATTATGTTTCTTCTGATCCGATCTTTGCTTATAGTCACTGGGTTTTAAGTTGATAAGGTAATTACACATGATATGATTGTTAATGATTTGTTCTGTTCTGTGAATGTCGGTTGGTATGGGTTGTTTCCTGGTGGATGAATCTTGTTGGTTTTGATTATATTTACTTTATCATCTGCGAAACTGTTGGTCGATTAGTGAATTGGTATAGGAGATTCGTTTGACAACAGGAACTTGGAAACTTTTGATAAATTAAATTGGTATACTAAATGTATTTGACACGAGTAACGTAACAAGTTTTGAACTTTATATCGGTGTATTGAGGAAGAAGAGTTTAAATAGACTAATGTGGTCGGTGAGGATTCATATAGCCGACCCAACTTGTTTGGGATTGAGGTGTAGTAGTTGAGGAAGAAGAAATAAACTTCTGGTGTGCAAATAAATGATGTTCTCAAATGGATCAGCATCAATATGACAGATAAAGATTGCTTTAGACTTTTTTGTTGAGTTTTGAAGCCTCGGTATGTTGTAGACTTTTGGCTTTTGCTTATGGTGAGCCACATGTGAGGGTGGATGCTCCCTTCTGTTTGGGTTGATGCTAGTGAAAACATGGGATATTGTTCTCTTCTGTTTCATCAGATTACCTCACCCAAATGCATTATGCCGAGGAGTTTGGTGGGAAACCGAACTTCTGTGTTGTTAGTTGCATGGCTGAGGGGAATTGATATCTACTGATTGCTCTTGCCAGATAGATTGCTGTGAAAGACGTTATCATATATTTTATGTGCATCCTGAACCATACAATGTACAATATCTGGTCAGGATATGTGAGTTGTCACCCTAATTAATGGCTATTCATTAACTGAGAGTGAAGATATATCTATTGGGTGTTACAATGTTGACACATACTGCAGATGGGATTTTCCGACGAGCACAATTTTATTTGGATTAGATGCAGCATGGTTTTTCATGGCTCTGGATAAATTCAGGAGGAGATGAATTCATTTGGCTTAAAGAGCCTTTTCACCTTGACAGTACTGGCTTCCCTTATGTTCTTTGCATGTTTTGCAAACTTAATGGCAATGTGGAACATTAATGTTCCTGAGATATTCAAGGAGTATTGAATACTAAAGCGTTGTGGTCCAGCGGTTTTTTGCTGCAGTCCGCTCTTGTTCAAATTTATGGAACTTTTCACAAATACTTTTTTGGGTATATGGTTTAGAGATGATAGTATCAGATGGAGGATGCAAGTAGCACACATAAAGAATAAAATGAGAGTAGATAGCTTGAAATGGTTGTTCATGTCCCCACAAAGATCTCGAAGCAGACCTATGTGCATTGGTACATCGGTGCGGCACTATGGTGATTGATGTACTAAAAGGGGATTTTATATACCTAAAATCCCAGGAAGGAATGGTTACACTAACATCCACTCCAATAAGGCGCATTTGGCACAATACAAGCAAATGATGGCAATACCTAATAGTTCGATCTTTTGGTGTAGGTTCTTTTGTTATACTTACATTTGATATGGTGCTTGCCAGGTATCTGTTTGCCTGGTTAGAAATTGTATCTCAGCGTCGTGGTATAGCCGTGAAAAACAGATATCTTAGGTCTAGAACACTCTAATTGTTTTAAAAGAAAAATTGGTTACTGGTATTGGAAGGGGACGGGCCCGAATATAGAGGAATTGATACATAGAATTCATGAGTTCCCATCTAATTTTGGATTTGAAGCTATGCTGATTGTTGACTGTTATATGATGTCAATTTTTTTTTTTTAAAGTTGGTTGTACTATTTTAGGGGTATGTTTTAGTTCTGGCTTAGTTCATACTTCAATTTTCTGTCACTAACTGCTATGTGTTGTTAATTCCTGATGTATGTTGTGACTCTTCGTTAATTCCTGGTTTATATATTGTCCTTCGAATACACCCACAAATTCTATTATCCTTTATTACCACTCCTTGAACTTGTAGCGTGCATACACTTGTTATTTTTTCTATATTGGTTTTCAGGAAGATTTTTCTTGAATTTTTATTTTCAGCATTGCTTACATTATCTTTTGTCCTTTGACAGTTGTTCTATATTCATATAGAAACAAACATGCCTAAAGAGAGAAGAGATAGGTCTGTTTCTTTTGATAGGAGTAGAGCTTCTCCTTACACTTGTAGCTCGAGTCACTCAAAACCGTCATTCAAAAACCCTTTGGAAAACGACGAAAATGTGAAAGACTGGGAAGATGCCCGTTGCCCAGTGTGTATGGAACATCCTCATAATGCTATTCTCCTTTTGTGCACTTCTCATGAGAAGGGCTGCCGTCCTTTTATGTGTGATACAAGCTATAGACATTCAAATTGTTTTGACCAGTTCAAAAAGTCATTTGAAGAAGCTTCAGCAACAGCAACACAGCAAGTGGAGATCCCAGCTTCAGCTTCTATCGCGGAATCTACCACAGTGATAACAGAAGCTCTGTCTGATCTGCCAGGTGAAAGAACTGAAGGTGGTTCTATATCCCTAGGTGCCTTGTCTTGCGAGAACCATGAAAAGAAAAAGATGCAATGCCCTCTCTGCCGTGGCCAGATAAATGATTGGATTGTCGTGGACTCTGCCCGTCGGTACATGAATGCAAAACTAAGAAGCTGCTCTAGCGAGACATGCGAATTCAGTGGCACATATACAGATCTGCGTAAGCACGCTAGGCAGGAGCATCCCCTTGTACGGCCTACAGAAACTGACCCAGAGAGGCAGCGTAATTGGAGGAGATTGGAGCGGCAGAGAGATTTAGGAGATTTACTCAGTACATTGCAGTCTTCTGTTGGAGAAGAGGGAAGTGAGAGCACCAGTTTAACCTTCGATGAGGGTGGTGGTTTGCTGACTGTTTTTCTTTTTGTTCGGATTCTCCAACCTAGGAGTAATTCTGGTAGTAGTAGCTGGTCAGGCTCCTCAAGGACTCGGGCTCAGGCAACTGGTAGGAGACGACCTTCGAGAAGACTTTGGGGTGAGACCTATGATGGGGAAACTGAATCTAGAGATGACGACAATGAACAGTCTGATGGAGGGTCAGGTCCCTGGAGGCGCCTTGGGAGATTGCGTCGACGACCAACACCAGAAAATTAGTTTGGCACAAACATGTGTTTGCTTGCTGTTCCTCTTTGTTGTTACCCACTGTAGGTACCAAGAACATATGCTACTATGGTTATAACTCATTTTTCTGCTTGTATACCTTTTTATTGGGGCAAGTTTCAACAATTTGAAAGTGGTTTTTGGTGGTCACTTCCAGGTGTAGAAAATGGAGGAGGAAACCTCGTCTTCCGAACGTTGTCGCGCTGAAGGAGCAGTTGTTTCTTGGATTAGAAGGATTCAGGAGAGCATCGAAATGGAAGAATTCTGTTTGGTTAAATAGTATACATTTCTTTGTTGATGAATGTCATCTCAGCTTGTGTGTGCTGCAAATGCTTTAAATCTTTATTTTTAACTGAATTGATAAAGTTGGAAAGCAATTGCTATTTATGCTTCTAAATCTTATCAATAAATCTCATGCTGCAATAATATAGTTGTGCTTGCATTTTTCAACTTTGAGCTATAGCTTTAACCACAACAGTATGAATGAACACACTCTGATTTTAGCTCTTTAACAATAACAGCATGAACAATAGGAAAAAAAACAAACTCTTTTATTAGCTGTAAATTTAGGTCTATATCAACTCTAAAACTAGACCTAATGTAGGGTATCTTGGGCCTGTAGAAAGAGTTAAAAGAGGATAAATATACTTCCACTCATTCCTAGTTCTTTAAAAAATAAAAAGTCAGTTCGGTGTACGAAACATTTTGTGTTCACGTAGGGTTCGGGGAAGGAATACATCTCAAGAGGTGTGATATAGACAACAGTAATTGAGTTTATGATTTGAACTCGTAGATGGTGATAATTTTACCGTTATTTCAAGACGTCCTCTCATTCATTCTCAATTATTTGTGTAGGATAATATGAAACCAGTGGCGTAGCCACACTATGCCAAGAGTGTTCAAGCGAACACTTTTTGTCGGATAATTATATTGTGTATATGGGTTAAATATTACACAGTTGAGTGAAGTAATCCAGCAATTTAGGGTGTTTAAAGTGAGGTATTATTCATGGGTTTATATCCCTATTTAAACATTTTTATTTGATAATTTTGTTTAGCAGAGTAAAACGGAGAAAAACGGAGACCATATATGGTCTATTTGACTCTTTTTTACTTTAAAAAAAATCCTAATAAATAACTCTTAAAAATTAAAATTTGTATAAAAATAAACAAGTAATCTTAAATGTTGCTTTCTAAATAAATTTTACAATTTAAAAAGTCAATCTCGTTACATACTATGGACCTCTCGACTCTCAATTTTCTTTGATTTTATGCTTACTTTTATTAATAAAAGTTTTTTAATCTTATTTTATGTTAGTTTTGATTTATAAAATTATAGTTTTATTACAAAATTTTTAATTATTTAGCTAAATGTTGTATAGTTTGATTTAAACACCCATTCATCAAAAAAAATTATTTGACTTATTAAAATTTGAACACTCTTGACGAGATTTATGGCTACATCACCGTATGAAACTATTATCTGCTGAAAGGACTCTATTTTTATGACCTCTTTCTTTGTTTTTGATTGTCAATCGAGATATTATAAAAATTTCTTCAAGACATAAAGAAAATAGAGGAACAAATTTAGAGGGGATTATCAACATCCCCAAATGCATTTTCCTTAACCCATCTTTCTTTGACGTAAATCCAACCCAATTCAAGGCATTAATTAATGCAAATTACTGTAAAGTTCAAAAATAACTATTTTATGGATTTTTAATTGAAAAATAGCTAATTTTTGAAAATTTAAGATAGTGTCATGGATTTTGAATTTTAAAAAGTGAAACTCCATGGCAATATCCTGCACAAAGGTGGACACATGGAGTTTTACTTTTTTTAAGTTTGAAATCCATGATGCTACCATGGAATTTTCACATTAAAAAGGCTACTTTTAAAAAATACTATCTATTTTTTAAAAAACTGGTTTTGCACCACTTGACCCAAAAGTCCATGTGAATAGGCCCATACAGCATCCAAAATCACTCCATTAGGAACACAATTTCTCAAAGGGATTGTTACACAAATAGTCGGTCGGATTTAATGTTTACATTTTTTAGCCGATATACATAAATTATATACTGACTATATATAATTATGCATATATTATACATAAATTTACATATATTATACATTCACCGACTATTTTAAGTTTAAGAGATTAATTGGATGGCTATTGGGGTTAAATCTTCATTTCTCAAAGTAAAAATTGGGATGTGAGGTTAATCCAAGAGAATACAAATATCATATAGGATAAGCCATTAAGGTTGAATCATTTTAAAAACATGTTTATATTAAATCTAAATTAATTATCACTAATGTGCAGGAAATGATTTTTAATAGGAGGGTGTGGAGGTCGAAGATTAGGATTGTAGGTTAGTAAATAGTCGAACATATTTCTTTTCCAGACATGTACTTCTTTTTCATAGTTGTAAAACTAGTGTTATCCTCGTTTCCTTATTTTTAGATAGCTATTATTACTTGATGTTTCCTTTGCTTCGGTTATATTTCTTTTTTGAATGTTGTTACTGTTTCTCTTTCTGTAGTTCTTTGTCATAACTGTTGTGATTTTACTTTTATTGAGTTGAGGGTCTACCAGAAATAGCCTCTCTACACAAGGTATGGGTAAGATCTCTGTACATAATACCCTTCCCAGACCCACTTGTGAAAATATACTATGAAATAACACGGGCTAGCTAGTTTTTGGACAGGTAATCGACAAATAGCCAGCGTTTGCAAAGTCATTATTTTGCGTATTGTGTAAAATAATTGCCATTATTTTTCTAAAACACAGAAAGTTCCAGCATAATATGCGGGATTACAGAGCTCTTGCGTATAAACTTCCCGCATATTATATTGGAACTCCATCACAGGGAAAGTTCCAGCACAATATGTTGGATTATGGAGCTCCTGCATATACACTTCACGCATATTATGTTGAAACTCCAACACATTATGAAATTCCAGCACATTATGTTGGAAGCTCATACGTAAAAAAATTCGAACTCCAGCATATTATGATGGAATATTTTCGGACTTTTAAGGGTGTTTTTGTTTAGATTTTCTCTTTACATGAAAAATGTGGCTAAATTTCGATTACTTTTGAAACTGTAGCAATTTTTCAATTATCAATTGTAAATCTGACTATTTTTTTTTGAATTTATTTTTCAAATATACTGGGTATATTATCATCATTGTTGTTTGTTGTTGTAAAGGTGCATGAAATAATATTTCATAGTCTTTAACTTAAAGTCTTGAATCTGCATCTACTATCTCCAAACGACATCCAATATTCTATGCAATATCTTTAAAAATTGTCATAAGATACTGACTTTATGGTCAACTTAATTAATGGTAGAAGATAATTTAAGATTATTTTTCTCCTTAAAGCATATTGTGTCGTCCATAAAACTAAAGCTCCACATTTTCAGCATAAATAGAAGTTTGAGAATTTACAAAGATCAAACTTTATGATTTTTCTATAATAAACCACGTGCAGACCATTGGAGTTGGAATTATATTTTACAAAATAAGTTTACTAAGTGACAAAATAGGACAAATAAATGTCTCAGACCCCATTAGTTTGAAGCTGCCCATAATAATATGTCCCCAGACAAAGGCTATAATGTATGCAGGAGAAAGACACAGAGTTCCTAAGTATAATATATCCATATCCTTTTTTCTTTTCTCTTTATTTTAAATAAATTAGTCGTCAACTCAATCGCTTAAATTAAAATAGCCGGTAGATGTATAATATATGTATAATCCATGTACGTTATGTATATAACCGGCTAAAAAAAATAAACAACGAATACAACCGACTATTTTGCATAAAAATTCCTGGCATATATCGATATTGTAACGCTTTAATTTTTACACAATAAGTGAATTTTAACATGTAATGGTAGATTACTTGTCAATTTTACCAGATTAATTAATTAATATTTATCAAGTAATTTACCTGTAATTACCTAATAAGTTACTTGAATAGTCTAAATAATTTTTGCATCATTATCCTTAACCAGAGTTCTCGGGTTCGAGTCCCTCGATATGGAATCGCCTTTGCTTGGGAGCAATTTACCCCCAATGTGAGACTTCCCGGCGCCAATCCGATTTAGTCGGGATCCAATATGGTACCGGATACCGGATGGGAAAACAATTTTTTTTAAACATCATTAGGGTATAAAACTTAAATTCTTTTTGTATAACCTCCCAAATGGACAATTTTTGATTAAGGGATTATCAATTCCTCTTAATTTAAGTGTCTTCCACTTCCACATAAATTAATGTATGCTTTTCTTTTGTCCAATTTTTGCATACCCAAAATCCTTAGAGATTTTTATTTATTATATTGCTATTTATTTCTTTTACTATAATTCTCCTTTTTGGGTTGTCAGCTATGCCATCTTTCAGTCTCTGCATTTTTTACCATTTTATTGCATTGTGGAACTCTGTATCAATACAGCCTTTTTTTTTCTGATTTCTTATCCTCTTTCCATTCCTAGCTTTATCTTTCTGATTTTTAAATAAGATTCTTGATGAGGTTTTTTTCCTTCTTTAGGTATTTTTTTTAGGTTTTTAAAATTTAATCCTCTATATTAAACCTAAAAAACATTTGGGTCAAACTACATTCACATAAATATTACAATCCAATTCATAATTACAAAAGTGCCATACATGTTCATTAATAAAATTTAAAGACCGGATTCATCAAGTTTAAATCCTAAACTACCTCTAGATATTGCTAAAATAGGCAATCTCATACCAATCGATGGACAAAATTCACTATCAAATTAATTTTTCATGCCAAACATTTCTCATATGACTAACACCCAAGGAATTAACTCAAAAAACTGAACACTGTAAAGGAACTAGATTTTGTAAAGAATTGCAGTAAATTAGAAAACCGAATATCTCAACCGGATGTTGTTATTCAACAAATTACGGACTGACAGGAAGATTTTTCTCAGCTATGTTGTGTGTGGACTTTCGAAAATGTTGTCGCATCCGTGCTGGAACCTCCAAAAATACATTACTTTTAGAGGACCCGCCACGCACCTACGACATTTTCGGACGGTCCGAGCAACATCGGTTCTCGGCTTCTTAATATCAGATCGTCTTGGACATTTACTGATTCTATTGTTATATAATATTTTGGTCAATTAAAAGATTTGGTAGGTGTTGTGGGATTATGGTAGGCAAGGGAGAAGAATGTATGGGGCAAGTTATGGAGGTTTTAGTTTCTCAATATATTTGCTACCTTTGTAAGATATAACATATATCTTTGTCTGCTAAAATGCTGCCTAAATTTGCAACCAAAAAGTGAAAATGATAAGATTCATGCAGGTACAAAGGGGAGAATGAAACAAAAGAATTAAATGGAACTTTGTTATACTCTTTATTTTTGAATAATAAGTACTCCCTTCGGT